ACATTGCTATATGTTTGAATTTTTTTTCATAATAAAATGTTAGGGAAGTTACCCAATGCTTTTATCAGGGGCGAATCACTCTGCCTGCACGCTGGGTGTGTAGCGATCCCGAGTGCTGACACTGGGAATCCCGTGTTCCTTACACTGTACCCTGCGCCTTCTCCTTGACCATTGACCTCGTTTCTGGTACAAAACCTGTCCCACACGTCCTGCCTCTTCCTCTGTCCTTTCATAATCATGCCCTCACCCTTTGGGCAAAGGTGAATAGAAAAACAGCACAGGGCACTCAGCTACTGAACAGATCTTTGTGAAGACTCAGCTCTGCATGAGATCATGGTAAGTCATCAGAATACCTTTCTGCACCCAGAGAAGACTGTAAAAGCTTGACTGTTATTTTTTTTAAAAGAGGAAAAAAAATCCTAATTTCAATAACTTGCTTAAAATTTCAAATTATAGAAAAGACTGTCTTCTCATAATGGTATAATGACTGGTATTTGCCTTATTTCCATCACTCCTGGGAAAGAGCGGAACATTTATTTAGCCCTAGAAGTGGAGATGTTTTGTACATTGCCTCACATAGTTCTCGCAGCTCTGGGAGTATGTAGCCCCATTACCCTCATTTTATAACAAGGCTCATGGTCATGGAGCCAGTAAATAGTGGAGGACTCAAACCACGATCTCATTGGCTCAAAACCATGTTCTTTTCACCAAAGCACTGTCTCTGACATTTAAAATAGGTTATGGTATGAAAAGCTAATACAACAATAAGACCAACAGTCATTTGGCCAGGACTTTACAAAATACTACTAGAAATAAAATTCATAAGGGCAGTTTCCTGTTCTATTTCATTTTTACCAAACCACCACCCACTGCAAGGTATTTTAAAGTTTATCCTTCCACAGTATTGACAAATGTTAATGAGAATACATTTCGCAACCTTTTCCATTTTCTGTAGCTTTAGGGACAGTTCAGGGTTTAATAAACCTGCTAAACTGAGGGGAATTTACTTTTGATGTCAGCGTTGCTTGCTCATAAATTAAACAGATGGCCCAACTATGCTGTAGTGACCTTCTGTCTGTATCATGCTTACACTGTCAGACAAAAATTCTTATCTAATGGAGTAATGGAACCTTTTCCCATTAACCCAGATTCCTAAACTACAGCAGCTATATAGTAATCACCCAGTAGATGGCACTAGTGCTGACTACCCTGTTTTTATTCGTTTTCTATCATTAGTCCAGAGACTTAGGTCAGAGGTGTACTAGGGTTATATATGAAACAAAACCAGCACCACACGGCAATCAAATGCCTTGCATATTGTTTGTGGAAAACACTTACTATAGCTGCCCACCTATACAGAACAGGATGAAGATCTCTTAAGTGACGTTCTCAGGGATGTTAATCATACATCCTACCCAACTATTTTTCAATTTGACCAGCCTCTCTCCACATAATAAAGCAAGGAATAGAGGAAAGTTCTGGGGAATAGGAGAAAGGCAGATGATGCTGCAAACATATTTGCTGAGATAAGCAACAATAAAACCCATTTAATAAAATTTCAAATAGAAACCGAGGGTGAAGGTTTTTCCTTTGATCTATATAGGCCTACATGGAACCAGATGGACTCCACTGTAATGATTTTAATGTTGACATAATTTGAGTAATTCTATTTGAACCCAATTCAAAACTCATAGTACTCATATCGAGAGGCCATCCATACTCCATTCTATTCTGTTTGGGACTACCTGACTTTACCCCTCAATTCTGCCCTTTGGAGTCATATGCTTCCAATTTTTCCACATTTTACAATCCAGAATGTTGGTATATTCTAGCCTCACAAAGATAAAAAAAAAGCCAAGAAGCTATATAAATGCTTCAAAATAAAGTTATTGCTGTGTTAAGGGGAGATACCAAGGGCAGGAGACAAAATTCTTCAATCTTTGTTTCAAGTGCAGCTCATAAAATTCTTTCTGGTTCAGCCGAGAAGCAATTCACACTTCTCAGTTCCTGGGGAGAATCTCATATAAACCCCAGGTGGTTTATAAACCATTCTTTGAGGATTTTATTCAACACATACTCAATTTATGGACCAAGAGCTGGACCATCTCTTCTATGTCGAGAATAAATTTTGATGGAGTAAAAGACACAAAATTTACTCGAATTTCTGGTTGAAAATGGTTAAAGAACTGGTTTTTAAAGACATGTCAACAGCCCTTCAGTTGAACAGTAAGTGCAGTGTCAAGTCTTAAGATACCTGGGCTCTATTATAGTTCAACAGCTAGTCACCAAGCCTTGGGTTGGCAGGTTCTTAAAACTTGGGGAGCCACAATAAAATTGTGGGTTACCTATCAAGGCCTTTCAGAAGGCTTAAATGAAATGTCTACTAGTCAAACTTGTCAAAATGTTCCTTTTTCTTTACACCACGTTATCACATAGTGGTGCACAGCTCTTATGTTCTTAATGAGGATAAAAATGCAAAATAACTGGCTTGTCAGATATTCTGGACTTGATGTTCTCTGGTCTGTTCCTTAGTCTGTGATCTGTGCTTTCAGAAACCATCATTAGATCTTTTAGCCAGAAACCTGAAGTAATTTGGTTATAATATTTGAATATGAACTCTGGCATATCCCTAACAAAGCAAACTTCCAAGGAATTGGGAGAAAAGTTGAATATACCTGGAAAATAAAATGTTTTTCTAGCTTCTTCCTCAGGGACTAACACAACAGTGCTATATTTCAAAGGTCACAATCAGATTTTCTCAGCATACCTTCCTTAACTGTTAATCATTATAACTACTTTGTGAAACATGGACTGTGTAATTACCCCAACATTTAATCTCCGGCTGGAACCTCAATACACAGATGGAGCATGGCCAAGTACATCTGCCTTTACCTATCATAGAACGCATATTAGGTAACAACTGTGACCCTCTTTTCTACTAGAAATGTTCAGACTCTCATCAGATAGAGGATAAAACTAAGATCAAGAAAAACAGATTAAAAGAAAGGAAAAAAAAGCCATCACAGGGCAGGTAATCCCAAGAATAAGCCTAGAGGTAAGAACTGACTGAAGTTTGGAAACGTGTTCCATGTTGATACTGTTTTTTCAGATTTGTCCTCTGTAGAATCTTTCCAGACACATTAAAGGATCTTCAGATTAAGAGTCACAGCAGCCTAAAATTGCTTGGAGCAGTCATTACCTTAATGACACCAGAATAGGGAAGTCATTTCTGTAACTAAACTAGAATGTCAGATCTACATAAACTTCAACTAACAATTGCCGCTGTTGTCTTCGGACTGACATAAAACACTCTCAATCTGTACCTTCTGAGGACTCTTTATAGGGCTAGTTAACCACCTTCCTATACTTTAAACATTCTTGTATCATAAATTATAACTTTTTTACTAACCTCCCATCTATTTGTTTTCAGCATCAGTCCCTTGGCTGTATTACTCAACCAAGAAAATTAAACATTATTTTAAAATGTTAACTGATAAAATACAAGTGACAAATACTCAGCACTGCAAATATTCAAGATATCCTCAAGTTAACCTGCCCTCAAATTTAAAACAGAATCCCTAAATCTACAGGGACAAAGCAAGAGTTGGTATACTTATAGGAAAGTCTGGCTATTTAAACACCAATGGGAAAGCACACTACAACCTTCACCATTACCAATCATCCTCCTCTGGCCTCATGGGTTTCACGTGTCCATTTCTGTGCTGTAGCAATTCCCTAAAGAACCTGACCAGACAGGTGGGGCAAGCTGGTGGATGAGACTTCATCCACTTCAGAGTTGTTTTGTAGAAATGAAATGGGACTCAATCCTAGGGGCATGTATTTCTAAACTAAATGGTGTTTGTTTCCAGTAGGTGTTTACACTTATTTAAAAATAAGTTGAAAGCTGAAAGCATCAGGAAAGAGGAAGGCAGGGAGCTTTCTTCCTCTTCTTGTTGAGTACTGTCCAACCAGGCTGGAAATGCAAATATTCATTATGGATTGTAACTCACTTTGGTTTGGTTTTGGAGGCGCCCCTTAAGAAAACAGAAATTTGTTAATAAATGATAAAGAACACAGAACAACAAGGTTAGATTATTGAGGCAAGTGTCAATTACAAAAGTAAAAGCTTAGGTTTTTCTCTATTTAATCTCAACATGTTAAAGAGTAACAATACTTCTACACCTAACCCTACCTTTTTGTCTATTCTTGAGGTATGATTAGACAACAAACATTCAACTGCTTACTGTGTGACAGAAATCATTCTAATCACTTACATGGACAATCTTAAGTAACTCTACAAGGATGTAATATTACTTACTTGTTTTTATATTTGTGGAACCTAAGGCTTACAGAGATTTCAAATACAATAACTTGCCCAACATCACAAATGAGGGGATAATGAGGCCAGAATGGGCAGCTTAGCAATCCATACCTATATTTTAATTTTCCAAAACTCCAAAGCTCTTTCCTTTAAAAACACCTTTAACACTATGTTTTCCCATGAATAACTTAGTGTTATTGCTAATTTTATTTTTCTTTACTCCAAACATCTGTAATTTTGTAAACATCTTAAGAAAATATTAGTCAAAAAGCCAACTTAACTATAATCATTAGTATATAAACAAAGGAAAAACTTCTTCCTATAAGATATAAGGCCATTACTAAAGTGCTATAAACCATAAATGAGCTCCTTGCGATCATCCATTCTTCCCTCTACCCCTAACTCTCCTCATAGTGCCTGATACGTAGCATAGACCCAAGTATTTGTTAGATGCTCTGAATTAGAGCAAACAAATATTATCTGGCACAGATTTTATATTTAAACGCCATGGGATTTTCAGGAAACGAAGTGTAAATTATTTTGGGATTTGAGGTGGGGGAAAAAGAAAAAGCAACAAATGCAGAGCTAAGTCCTCGCCAGGCTGAAGTCATCATTAAAACTACAGTAAAATGTACTGGCTCTCCATTGCAAATCACTGAAAGAGCAAAAATAAGGTAGGTCTGTTAACATCAATGCAAGTTTTTATTCAAGAGATAATATTGAAAAAGAGTTGAATTCTAACAAAGAAAAGATTTACCAGTTATCCACCCTGCAATAAGAAGTGGAACTGGGGACCATTTACAAAACATAAACAAACTCTACATTTCTGAATAAAGCTGTATTTGCTTCTTTGAGAGAGCCATGTCTTAACTTTTGCTGATAAGGCTTTGTGAATTGTGTTCAGAAACTGTGAACACATACAAACATCTACACACACACACACACACACACACACACACACACACACACACACACACTCCTTCAAATAAAGTAAGTACCTAGGACTTTTACTCCAGGCTGAGTTTTTCTAAGTACCTAGGACCCTATAACTTAAGACTGCATATTTCTCCATGAATTCAATTTGAATTGCCTTCACTATGCTTATCTCCCACAATTTTTATAAATAGTTAATGTTTATTATGACTTTATAACTCCCTCAAATTATACTTTAATATTTGACACGGTAGTTTCAAAAAATAAACATTCAAGGCCTCAGTTTTAAATTTTCCTTCAGGGTAATGCCGAATGGACTACCTTAAAATAAAGTAACTAGCTTTCTTCTAAAAATCACTTGTTACACTACAGATCACATTACTCCATCATTCTGGTCAAGAATATGTGTTTTGGTACTAAAACAAGAGTTTAGGATGATTCTGTTCTTGAAAATGTTAATGTCAGTCATTCAATAAAGAAGTCAATCATTCCTGGGGTCACAAACACTCACAAGTCACTGTCAGCACTGACTGAGTTCGTGGGTTTTTTTGGTGGTTACTGCTTTACTTGGCAACATCTGAATTTAAGATAGAGAACATCTCCCACTAAGCCTTATTTTATATATTACAAAGTGTATGCAGAGATAGACTCATAGAGGCTATAATGCTGATGTCTTAAGTAACTCACCCATGAAATGGGTGCAGGTGTTTTAGCGGATATCCAAAGACTTATTTGCTCTAAAAATAAATGCCCCCATTTTTCAGTGTGTTCCCATTACTTCAATAGGAGACTTGAGCAGCTTAACAGTTTTGCTATAAAAACAAACCGCTCTTGTTAACAAACCAAAAACATAAAAGGAAGCCGATAAAGAACATAAGTTTTCACAGTTAACAATAAATAAAAGTGCAGTAAGTATTCAAGTAGGGCATGTAGTTTAAAAACCACATGTGAGCATTTGGCATAGGTCATCTTTTCAAGGCTCTCCGAGGGTCCCTGCCATTACTTAGTGGGCTCATGGCTGTTTGATTAGCAGCTGTTCCTGTTAGCTGTGGGTTTATAGGTCCCCGGCCATTGCTTCTACCAGCATATGAATACTGGCATCCCCTTGATTCTGGGCCAGTTTGAACCCCGTTTCCTAAAAAAAGATATAAAAATTCATCAACATTTTCAGATACTGATCTATAGAGGTCCACCTATTTAACATTCCAACACATGCTGTTAATGCTTACAAGTAACATTAGGAGAGGAAATGGCTTTAAACTACTGGAAAAAACTCAATGTAGGTTTTAGGTTTTTTCAAGCATATGATTACTGTAAATATGGTAAGCTGATGCTGTATTAATAGGGAAAAGAAAAAAGGAGCAACTTGGACAAGAGAATGAGAAATTGGCATAGAAATTGGTATAAAAAAGGCATAGATAATGAATGCACTGCCCACGTTATAGGAGAAAAAGAGAAAGAGTGAATGGTGTATTGAGTACTGGCATTT